ACACTCCTGTGCATCACCTTTATTCTTCAAAATAGAAATTAACACACTCATTCTCCACTGATCCGACATCTTTTTAGTCTTCAACACAGTATTAAAAAGTTTAGTAAGCCAAGAAATTCCTTCATCTCCTAAGCATTTTCACATCTCTATTGGAATATCATCAGGTCCAACAGCTTTTCCACACTTCATTTTCTTCAAAGCCTCTTTAACTTCGATTTTACTTATACGCCGATAAAAACAAAAATTTTTATTTTCATTTAAGGTGATAAAGTCACTAAAGTCAATCGTATTTTTACATTATTCATTAAAAAGTTTAGCAAAATACCTTATCCACCATTGTTAAATATCATATATTAAGAAAAGTACTTTTTGATCTTCATCCTTAATACACTTCACTTGAACTAAATATTTACTACCATCTCTTTGTTTGGCTAACTTATACATATATCTTTCTTCCTCCTTAGTATCTAATCGATTATATAAATCATTAAAAGCTAAGCTCTTTGCATCGCAAATAACTTTCTTAGATTCCTTATGAGTCTCTTTATAATTTACCCAACTATCAGAATTTTTACATATAAACTAATTTTTATAACAAATCTTCTTATTTTTTATATTTTCTTGCATATTTGGATTTCACCACCAACTATTTTTACTATTTGGAGCTTTTCCTTTCAAAACTCCAAGCACATCTTTTGCAATATTCTTAATGTCACAAGCCACTTTTTCCCACATAATATTAGCATCCTCATGCACAGACAAAATCTTAAGATCTAAAATCTTTCTCTTAAAAATACTTTTGTTAATATTCTTTAAATGTCCACATCTAATCCTAGAAAATTGTTTTACTTTATTTTTTATTTTATGCCCATTCTTCTTAAAGTCCAAAACTAATAATTGATGTTGGGTACATAAATTTTCACTCATAATAACTTTATAATCTTTGCAATCTAAACGATTTAATTTTCTTATAAGAAAATAATCAATCTACGTTTTACTATATCTATTTTTATAAGTTATAAGATGCTCATCTGTCTTCTTAAATAAGATATTAGCTATTAAGAAATCATAAGCTAAAGAAAAATCTAATATAGTCTTACCACCTTTATTTGTAGTTCCAAACCCATGGCCACCATGGATGTTTTTAAAATCATCTACCTCTCTACCAACATGTCCATTTAAATCACCTCCAATAAAAACTCTTTCTTCAAGAGATATTTTTTGTATTAATTACTCTAAGTCATTCTAAAATTTTAATTTTGAACTTATATCCAAACCTACTTGAGGTGCATAAACACTTATAATATTAACAATCTTAACATCAACAACAATTTTTAAAGTTATAATTCTATATCAAATTCTATTAATTTGTATAACATTATCCTTCAAACTCTTATCTATAATCACACCTACACCATTTCTAGTACGACTCCTGCCCGAATTCCAAAATTTATATCCTAAATTGTTAATCAATTTAGCTTTCTTTCCAACCCTTTTAATTTCTTGAATGCACATTATATTTATCTTCCTATAAAACATAATATCTATTAATTCTATTAATTTTCCTGTAAGGGAGCCTATATTCCAAGTTTCTATTCTTATTTTCGTTTCATGGATTTGCTTTTTTGCCCTCATCCGTCCTTGATGTGGGAACCCTTGCCTATTTAACACTACACCAGGGCGTCGGCGCAGTGGCCCTTGCACACTTGTCACTGTAGTCAGGCCATACAACGCGTTGCTTCCAGGGGACGCCCTAGCATTAATACAATTTATTAAAGGATTCATGTCATGATTATTCGATAAGTTTTACGCTGGCTGTCGACTACCTAACGCAACCCTTCACTTTTCTCATCAAGGATTCGAGACATAGCAATGGCAGTGTTAATTAGACTAATTGAGCAATAAATTTAAAATATAATCAAATTAAAAAAAAAAAAAGAATAAAACTAAAACTCCACTAATTAATTGATTAATTTGAAAATATATTTAAATTTTGAGCTGATCTGTTAATTTTAATTTAAAAAAAATCTAAGCTTTAACTAACTAATTAATTAAATTAGAACATAATTAAGACTAAATTTCACTCAATTAATTAATGTAATTAATTCAAAATACACTATAAGAAAATATAGAACAATGTTTGCACTAAACAAACCTAAGTATAAACTCACATCAACTAAACTCAAACTCCTAAAACTAAAACCCCAAAGCACAAGACTCAAACAAAACTTTCCAAGACTCCAGTTCCTGTGAAGTTCCAAAGCTCCTAAGCATGCTCTGAAGTAGTATGTGCTCCTGCAAACAAATAAACAAAAATAAGTATAGCAAACTAAACTGCAGTGTAAGAAAAGAAAAGTTGAGTACTGTAAACCAAATTGATGTGCTAAAAGCTAGGTACTGGAACCAGAAACAAAGTTGAAGTAGGAAAAGAAACTATTGAATGAGAAAAAAGAAACACTAGTTCAACAGTAGTAAAGGATTGTAAACTAAAGTAATTATTATCCAATCTAACCCAAACAAAAAATAAGGGCTACTTCCAAGCGAAGCAGTAAGAACCACTTTTAACCCAAACCCCAGGCCACTTCTAAGTGCAGAAGCCGTAAGACCTACCTAAACATGCTGGCTACTAATAATATAAAAGCTGTAAGACCTACCCAAATATACGGGCAACTTCTAAATGGAGTCGTAAGCCCTGACTTAAGCCCAAACATACGGGTAACTTCTAAATGGAGCCGTAAGTCCCGACTTAAACCTAAACTACGGGCAACTCCTAAATAGAGCCGTAAGTCCCGAACTAAACCTAAAACTTCGGGCCACTCCCAAGCGGAGCCGTAAGCCGAAATCCAAAACAAACACCATAACACCAAAACCCATATTTAAACACTTTAGTTTACTTGGGATCTCTGAGAGGATGTAATCTATAGCTGCTAATTAGATTCCACGGACATTGTGATCAATGATTGTTAGTATTGGTAGTTTGAAACCTACGGTATTTCCGGGATGACGGAACCATGAGATCTTGATTTGGTCTACCTCCATCCCCCACAACCAAGGTTAAAACACTTGCACATATAAAATTAATTTATCTTTAATCAAGAACTCTTTTCTACGTGATAGGAGAGGTAATTAACTATGGGGGCTTGCGCTCATAGGAAGTAGGAACCCAGAACTAAATAAATCTTGATATAATTATCGGGGGAAATCTTGTTAATTAAAAATTCAATCTACCTCAAGAAAAAATGGAACCTTAAGCCTAAGAAGTGGGTTTGTGCAGTAAGCGCCATCTTTTCCTGAGCTAACAGCTTCAAGTGCTTGATTTAGGTTCATTTGGATTCTTATTGAATTACTTTTTGTGTCATTCGATTCATCTTATCGAGATGTTTAGTTCGATTTTAAACTTGTTGAAATTGGAGTTTAGAAGATTTTGAATTTAATTTCAGAAGTTTCTAATACAAAGAATGCATCAAGATTCATACAAATCAAACATATTTTCATACAATGTATTAAGTATCATTGCTGTGGAGAAGATGAGAAGTGGCTATCTATTTTTTTAAAAGTTAGGTGGGTGTCTATTTGGGGGCATAAAAAACTTTCATTGTATTGATATTTAAAACAAAAATAGAAAGGCTGGTTGGGATCTTTTATCTTCTTCAGTTGACTGATGATTTTTGTTGTTTGATGTCAATCCACTTGTAATGTTTAATAGTTAATGGTGGATTAATTAGGATGTGTTTATTAGCTTATGCAATTTTAACCCTATAAATATCCCCATTTGTGGAAGATGATGACATGATATGAATGCATGCAACTTCCCTTTCTATTCTTTCTTTTTGGAGTTTGAACAGCTAGAAATGTTCAGGATGAGATATGGTTCTCATCATTTTGTTGTCTGGAATAAATATCTGGGGTTCGCCCTAGTTATTGGTTTTTTGCTGTTTAGGTTTGCCTTCCGAGTGAGTTTTTATTTTTCTGGCCAAAAATGTTTTGATGGATTTTAGCTGTCCCTTGGGGATTTTTTGTTGTGCCTCTGTCTATGGTGTTTCTTGAATGGATGCTGCTCTGCTCATATTGGAAATCTTGTTTGCTGTTTTTATTTTGTATTCTAGCTTTCATTGTTTGTTCATGTCCTCTCAAGACTTTTTGAGTTGGTTTACTTACGGTGGCTAGCTTGTCCATTTGGGGTCAAGTGGTTTTATCACTCATACTTTTCTTTATTGTTTAATTTAATTTGATCTTCATCTTTCAATTCCTCCCAAAAAAATCCTCTCATATCATTTGTTCAAGAAACCAGTATGACAGAAAACAAGATGTCCATAGCAGTTCCTCTGGTCTTGGTGTTGTGTGGTGTTAGTTGTTTATGTGCTCTCAAGTCTCAATCCATGGTTCTTAAAACAATGCTAGCTAACAAAGCTATTCTTTTTGCGGCCTATTCGATTGGTTTTATATTGAAACATATTTTAGACATTATAATTTTATTTTCATTTATTTTAAGTGTGAAAATGAAATTATAATTTTTGAGAGACTTTGAACGTGTTTATGGAGTTAAAACCCCATATTGATTTTTAACTGCAGTAAACCAACTGACTGAATATGTTAAATTCATCGCTTCTTAGGACATGTTTTTCAATTGAGAAAATTATTTGCATGCCACTCAAACTTTCCTTATCAACAAATCTAACACCCACGCAAAAAATAAATAATTAACAAATTCATATATTTTGGCATATGACCAAATCATTTAGAAGTTAATGAAAACAAAAAATATATGCTTTTATTTTGCAGTGCTATTTGTGATTTAGGTGTATTATTGTAATATATATATATATATAACATAGAGATTGCCCTCTTTTTAATTTTAAGCAATTAAATATGAAGGATGGATTTTTATTTTTAAAGTTTGAAATACATATTGTAATTAATGCATACAATTTTGGCACTTACCTGTCCTTGTTGAGTTCTTTGAATTGGAAACTTTTGAGGTTTTATGCATATTTATTTAGGAGAATGGAGGCTGCAATTTCTTTGAGTGGTGTGATACTCCAAGTTCTGCGATTACATTAGACGGCCAATCCAGTGCACAAGTTCCTGTACTTCTTTGTCCCTGTGGTGCTGGTTCATGTCTAGTTCTTGTTTCAAAGAATGGAAAGAACGAGGGCCAACAATACTACAAATGTCCTGCAAATGGGGTATTGGTAAAACCTGCAATTTTTTTGTCTTTTTGAGAAATAGCATGTTTAATTAAATTTAGCATGCAGAACCTAATTCTCTTTGCACAATAAATAATGTGCGAGAAATATCTTATTTCAATTATCACTTCTTGTATGACTGTCTGTTTGTCAAATTAAATTACGGCAAGAGGTTCTATAACTTCTGCATTCCTTTGATTGTAACAAATCATAGGTGAACTCAGGTGGTAAAGGAGCATGTGGACTTCTTATTTATGTTAAATTTGATTCAACGAAAATGTAGGATATCCCTCTTAATAAATCGTATCAGTTGCAGTTGTACTCAATGCAACACTTCTGATTTGATGCTTTGTAATCTCAAGAAAGATTGAGCCAAAACAAATTCATGCAAAATTAATGTACTAAAAAAATGCAACTTATTTATTTATTTATTTTCATTGTTTTCAATTTCAATTCTATTGTTTTCATTTTACCAAAACTTCATTTTACATGTTTTAACTTTAACTTCATCAACTTGTCTTGCTGACAATCTTAGGAAAAGCTTCTTACTATGTAGTGAATATGATGGATGCCAAATGAACAACAGAGCAATCACCAAAGAGATTAAACAAAATAAATGCTTACTAATATTTATTTGATTTGGTTTAAATTAAACCTATATTTGTGGGAGAGGGGAGAAAAGAATTTGGAATATGTAGACTCCGAAATAATTTTTTTCTATAGAAGGGATCACTTCGTTGATTGTTAACTCATTATTCTTATTAACTTTTTTTATGTAATATCCCTAAATGGCGGGATCACTTCGTTGATTGTTAACTCATTATTCTTATTAACAATTTTTATGTAATATCCCTAAATGGCTATACAAATGTAGTTGGCAAGTGCAATTCAAATCCTACATTGAGTAAAAATGAAGGTGTGCGTGGGTGCATTCACATGCAAATATTTTTGTATGAAGAACATATTGCCATAACATAGGCCACATAACTATTCTAATTCGCAAAATTTAGATTTAAATTTGTATAACTAGGATGGCTAAACAGATAGGGAATTTGAATATTCTAGTCAAACGGCACAGAGTTTTAAAAACAGCAAGAAGATTTTAGGATTATAATCTACTTATTGCATCATTTTATAATTATTGTAAATTAAACATATAAATTAGGAGGCATGGATCTATGATAATTTTAAAAGGCATAAATGCTTGTGAAAAGGTAAATGAGGTCAAACTTGGCTAAATGAATAAGAGTTTGACCTAATCTATATTTCTTAAAGATAGTGACAATCGATAATTTTCTTGGCATTCAAGATTACTTGAAAATCACTCGTTAGATATCTTGCACATGGAGATTTGTTTTTCCTCAAGATTTATGTTAACAACCCATGGAAGAGAGGGTTAGTGGCATCATCTTTGATAAAATGCCATTGACCAAGTGGAAGGCAACATCAAAATGGCACCAAAGGAGTGCATTCAACTCTTTGTTTGAACCTTATAGGCAACTATAGTCAGCTAAGTTCCAATTCGATACCTCAAGGGGAGAATTTGTGGGAATTGACCTAGTGGTTTTTTTGGTCAAGGTCAAGGTCTAGATGTTATAATTTGGAAGAGTTAGCTGGAGGCATTGTTACTGCTATATTAAGTCAATAGCAGAGTTGTTGGGTAATATCCAAAGATGGTACGAGGTTGTATGATGAGAGTGTGGGCTCCGAAAATTCGGCCCCGGCCTCCCCGCTACTTTTCGGGGAGCTTTAATGGATTAAGTTCCAGGGTAAATTTTGGGAAGGTAGATTGAGTTTGTAGACAAGACACTACCCAAAGGTTTCGCCCTCATTTTGCGAGGACTTTATGATATGAGTTCTGGCTTCCTATAGGCGCAAGCCTCTATAGTTAATCACCCCTCCCGATAATGAGAGAGAACTTTTGATTAAGGCTAGTCATCAATTAGATATGTAGAAATATGTGTTATCTTGCATATAGTAGCAGCATGGGCTTAAGTATTTGGAAATTTGAAGATTTGATATTTAAAATATAAATGTCACCATGTTGCACTTAAAGCGGGTGGTGGGGGAATGGATGATGGACCCAATCATGATCCCATGGTTGTGTTGTCTTGAGCCATCGTGGTCCCTGGTCTATTTAGTTAGAGGAGGTAATCGACCCAACTTGATAGAGGATCCTTGTCGGCAGCCACGAGTTGCTTCCTCCAAGGATAACTTGTAGACCTGGGGTGGATGTTTGTCTAAGGGGACAAATCTGAATCCACCTTAACTAACAGAGGGCTTTGTGCCCTATCGATTATATCCTATTGATTCATATCTCAAGAATTTAATGCCATTGGGGAGCATACGGGCTCTGCCCATAACCATAATTTAGTGATGCCATGTGGCGGCAAACCACCCGGTTCAGAGGGTCCCGGTCATAATCGGTTACCTGCGGTGTCATTTGGTGGAAAAATTGCCGGTTAGAGGACAAGTGCCATGTCCTTGCTGGCAGGAGTTAGTTTGAGAATGAATCCTAGTGATATTCTCGATCAGAGATTAACTCTTTGTGAGCTGAAGTGATAATTAAATTTGTTCATCTCGGCAAACTGTTGCGGAGGGTGGATTAATTTTGTTTTAAGCATTTTGGTGGTTTAATTTCTTTTTTAAATATTTTGAGTTTTGGTAGTTTTTTGGAGTTTTGGATTTTGAGCGTTGGAAACTTTTGGAATTTTGAATTTTTATGGGCCTCTAGAAGGCATTTTCAGTATTTGAAATTAACCCCTCTGGTTGAATTTTTGTTGTTGAACACGGCCATCATCGGAATATTTATGGGCATTTCTCATTCATGGATTGAATATTGTCGACTCTATCGATTTGCCGACAAAGGATTGGATTTTGTAGTCTTTAAACTTTTGTTAATATATTTATTTGGTTATAGATCTTGAAGGCCTAATATGAACGTATAAAATCGATATTATGGTCGACACCTTAATCGTATATCTGTTTGATAGTTTGAGCCGTGTTGACTCTTATCTATCCACATAGAAGGACCGGGCTCGAATTTATGTTCAATTATTGACCGGCGCAACATCCCTTGATGTCACGTATGTACTCATAACATGCTCGTCGGAGCCCATGCTGGCGTGTGATTGTATATTTATTTCTTTGTGCTTGTGTATACACATTATAGTGCATATGCAGGGGAGCATCTATGGAATATTTAATTATGATCAGCTTTGTGGGAAACTACCATTTGAATGTAGCATTCGATTTGGGGGCTTGTGCACGCCTTCTATCCGCTTATATAAAAGTTGTGGATCCGGTGGCATGGTGTTGTACTATGATCATTTGTCTCTTTTGTATAGGTAGACTGTCATGCACTGCTTATTGCTTTTCGCATGTAGATTGTTATGCACTAACAAATCTTCTGTTATTATTCATAGGAGCTTTCTCTTGCTGCAATTTTTTGTTCTCTACTTAAAGACAACACATGTTGGATATAAAATAAGTCTCTTGCGGCGACCCATAAGCATTTGGATTTGTCGTCCATCGGTTGTCTTTTGCTTGCGAGGGATTTCTAGATTTGGCTGTCGTTGTATAACTAATTGCCATAAGAATGTTGCAATAGGTCATAAATGCCTTGTGCGTGTACTACAAACACACTACCTTTGGTTACAACAATTTCTAAGTGTCTTGTATGCATTGTATGTATACTATCCTTGTCTATAGATGATATATTGCATGTATATCTACATCTATAGAATGTTGATCATCCTTGTAATCTTTCTATTATTGTTGTTTGCATGTACTACTATCTTCTTGCAAGATTGATATAGACACTACACATCGACTGTCGTTATTTGCATGCAAGTTAGTATATTCATCTACAAATGGCTATTAGCTACTGATTGGACTGAATTCACCACTGAATCTTCCATGCATGCTTGCCGACAAGTTGTTGCATTCGCCGTTATTGCCAACAAGTGTTTGCATCTACTACAGTTCTTCTTGCATTTGCTTACGGATAACTTTTGGTATATATGACAAGTCTATTACGAAGGCCCGTATTCATTATAATTCATTACCTTGGATTATAGACAATACATCGTATGAATCACATACATATCGACCCAACATATTCATTGTACATTGGTCCTTTTCACTTGAGGGAATTATTGTATTTTCTTGGCATTGAACCGTTGTAGATTGTAGGGATATCCCAACATTTATCTCATGAATGATATGAGCATCATTTAATCTCATTTCGAGATTGATTTGATCAAATGCTCAAGTTATATCTTTTACGACCTTGCTTGCAGACAAGCTATACTCACAAATCCTTTGTTCTCAAAGATGGTTTGCAATGTGTATAAATACATGTTGAACTTAACACTACGGGTCATTAACATTTGTCATCTGATTAAAGTGAAGATTGGAGATTTTGCATTATCAGTTATGAGCATATAATTGCATTTCCACTTACTTCTTGTTTGCATATTAATTATGTTATGATATCTTCCTCTGCGAGTCCCCTGTTGTATGTTGAGATTCATTTCAATATTCTCCTCAAGCTCATTTAGCATTCGCTTGTTCATTATTTAACAATTGGAGGATTTAGTTTATGATTGATTTGAGTATAATTTAGTGCTTTGAGTTTTGTTTCCTGTGGTCCAATTTATATTCATAATTCACCTGTATTTTGTTCAAGTCCTTATCATTTTTCAGACAAAATTTTGGCAGCCTCCCGGCTTTTCCCCTGTTTCGGGGAAACTGCAGGAAACTAGACTTTTCTACCACGCTAAGAAAAGCGTGTATCGTAGGTGTCCGTAGACACCGCGGCCGTAATCTTCGTCCCCCACCATGTCAAGAAAGGCTTGTATGGGTCTTCAATGGTACATGTTTGAAAACACATTTGGCTTTCCCCTGTCGTGCTACATGAGCGCCTAAGGGTACTTATAAGTATACCCACTTAGTCGTAGGCGTCGTGCCGTACTCCCATCCCACCACGCTTAGAAAAGTGTGTA